CCTTTTGCTTTTCCGCCAGAAATATTCCAATTTCTTCTATTAAATTTAGAAATCGTTCCAGTGTCAATCCACGACTTAGCCACCTTACTTCTGTATAATACAGTAAATCTCCATATTCGCTTTCGATGTCATCAAGGAATTGTTTGAATTGCCTGTGATTGAGTCCTCGTGATTTTATGAAATTTACAGTCGAAACTACCACTTTCATGACATTTTGAAATTCAATTTTTTTAGAACAGAGGGCTTCTTGGTGTATAATGCAGTGAAACTGCATGAGATCTTCAGCGTTTATGTTTTTTTCTTGCAGATGCTTTTTCAGCAAAGTAACTAGCCCGGAATTGACACCAATCATCGAAGGAGCACCGTCAGTCGCAACTCCCGATAATTTTGATAAGTCCAAATCAGTTTTTGAACACTCATCCAAAAGTACATTGAGTATATCAACTCCTTTGGTTTGACCTTTCAATGAACACATTCCTAATAACTCTTCTAAGACTTCAAAATCTTGAGTAACACCTCGTATGAATATGAGAAGTTGAGCTGTGGAACTAATATCAGTGGATTCGTCGAGTGCTAATGAAAAAAATTCAATGATCTTAGTTTTTTCAGTTAATTGTTCCGCAATATTACCTGACAAAGACATAATTCGTCTTTGGATAGTCATACGATTCAGTTGAATTTTCTCAAACTTTTTTGCTGCTTCTGGACACATTTTCTTAGCGGCAATTTCTATGCATTCTTTTACAAAATCCCCATCATTGAAGGGGCGACTTCGCTTTGCTATCATTCGAGAAATTTCATAACTAACTTCTGTAGCTGTTTCTGAATCTTGTTTCTTATCTTGACCAATAAGCACCCGTTTTAAAGACAACATTTTTTGCTTTCTTAATTCGCCTGTAAACTTGGTAAAAGTAGGATGCTGCGTTTCATAGTACCTTTTTACATTATATTCCTTTGCAATCGCAACAGAATTCTTGCAAATTAAACAAACGACTTTGTTATGCGATCATACGTAAAAGTATTTCTCAGTCCAAATTTCTTGAAACTGCCGATTTTCATCTTTAACCTTACGTTTTTTACTAGGTCCTGGCTTGTCCATGTTGTGTTCTAATCCTGGCTAGGATTAACACAGCACCTAAAAACAATTACAGTACCTACTTAAATTACCCATCCTTTTTTAAACATTATTTTCTCAATAACTAAAAACTGCAGCACCTTGGGACTAGTCTAGATTATTGCATTAGGTCCTCTGGTATCCTTCTAGCCCACCCACACCCCCAGATTTGCCGTAGGGGCCGAAGGGTGAATTTTTCAATATTCCTCGTTTTCAATAGCAAATTTAAACATTATTTTCTGAATAACTAGAGACGCAACACCCTGGAACTAGTCTAGATTATTGCATTAGGCCCTCTGGCATCCTTCTAGCACACCAGCACCCCCAGATTTGCCGTAGGGGCCGAAAGGTGAATTTTTTAATATTCCTCGTTTTCAATAACAAATTTAAACATTATTTTCTCAATAACTAAAGACTGTAGCACCTTGGGACTAGTCTAGATTATTGCATTAGGTCCTCTGGTATCTTTCTAACCTTTCTTTATTCCTTATTTTTTTGAAGACACCTAATGCTAACATAAGTTGTAATAAAAATATTACAGGCAATAACACAAATTTTAGTGTTATTTAACCCTTTCACGACGATTTCTTTTCTGGGAGATATAGGAGTTACATAAAACTTAGTGGTGCATATGTGTACCAGGAGTCGTGAAAGGGTTAAGACAGAAGAAGACATAAATAAAAATTGAAACTAATTGAACATAGTCACACACGTTCATATAAAGCCATTCATAGCTAACTTATTGCGGCTGAACCAATTTTCCACAATTCACACGTTAGTTAGTAGTACACGTTTTATGGATCATTTCATTAAGTGTTGAACTAGTTATATAATTACAAGGCTGGTGTCATCAGCATAATTCGTTTTGTGACAGTTCAGGCTGAAGAGTAGAAGGTCATTTATAAGGATAACGAACAAAAGCGATCCCAGTATACTACTCTGTAAGGCACCATAGAGTGTAGTTTTATTAGTAGAAATTACAGTCTTACTTTTTAAGCTTATGACTTTAGTAGAGTGTGACCTATTATTTAAATAAGATGTTATAATTATTTAAATAAAATGTTATAATATCGTTGGCTGGTTCCCTGAATCCATATCGTTCAAGTTTCATTACTAAGAGAAGTAAAAGCAATATGAAATTATAATATCAAACTAAATATTACATCAGTTTTAAATATAGTAATCTAGACTAGTTCTAGTAAGTAAAAATTCACCCCTCGGCCCCTACGGCAAATCTGGGGGTGCTGGTGTGCTAGAAGGATACCAGAGGACCTAATGCAATAATCTAGACTAGTCCCAGGGTGCTGCAGTCTCTAGTTATTGAGAAAATAATATCTAAGTATGCTATTGAAAACGAGGAACCGCTCGGCCCCTACTGCTAATCTGAGGGTGAGGGTAGACAAGGAACATACTAGAGGGTCTATTCGAATTATCCAGGGTAGTCGCAGATTGCTACAACTTCTGTAGTTTCAGAAAACGATTTTTCAATTGATATGTTCAATACTTGTCTGGTCAACTGTAATTTTATGAATCTCAATCTGGTACAGATTCGAATATGAATCTAACTTCAGCCACATAATAATTTTGGGATAAAATTATTAACTTTATTGGTTATTTAGGGGTACAATCAGCTGCAGTTAATGTAGTTTGTGAGTTAGCAAGGAAAAATCCAAAAAATTATTTAAGTTTAGCGCCAGTTTTCTTTAAATTGATGACTACAAGCACAAATAATTGGATGTTAATTAAAATCATAAAGCTGGTGAGTAATTTTTAGGTTTTAAAGTGGGATTAATAAGAAATGATTTTTTTATGGAACAGTTTGGATCTTTAACGATGTTAGAACCTTTAATAGGGTTAAAAATAACGAGGTCGTTAGTGAATATAATCACTCGGTAAAGTGAAAGGAGCTTTTTTTCTTATTTCCTTTTTTTTTGTTTTCCAGTTTGGGGCGTTAACTCCGCTAGAACCTAGGCTAGGCAAAAAATTAATTGAACCCTTAACCAATCTAATCCACAGGTTTGATTTTATTAAAATTAATTTAATCAAAAATTTAATAAAAATGATATAGGGTGAGTTGTAAATGTTACAATTAATTAATGAACATTGGAAAAGTTCATTGGTGTGAATCAAAATCGTTTGAAAACATCTAATGTAGATAAAAAATGAAGAAAAATGATTTTGACATTTTTTGAAAGTGTTTTGAAGATGATAAGTAATAGAAAACTGTAATTGGAGTGGGGCAAAATTGCTCAAATCAATTAAAAACAGTTTTAAATTACTTAATAAAGATATAAGGGGTCAGAAAAGTTAATAGGGACGACTTACTTAAAATTAAAATATTTTGGAATATGTGTAAAGGTCATTGGTATTGATGAAAATTGTTCTAATCAATTCAAAACATCCTTAGGATACTTAACGTTGACGAAAATGTTAAGAAAAATGATTTTGACATTTTTTGAACGTGTTTTTAAGATGATAGGAAACAAAAAACTTTAATTGGTGTAGGCCAAAATGGCTCAAATCAATTAAAAACTGTTTTAGATTACTTAATAAAGACATAAGAGGGTAAAAAAGTTAATACAGATGATTTGCATCAAATTAAAAAAATTTGGAATATGGGAAAAGATCATTGGTGTCGACGAAAATTGTTCTAATCAATTCAAAACATCCTTAGGATACTTAATGATGACAAAAATATTAAGAAAAATGACGTTGACATTTTTTTAATGTGTTTGGAAGGTGATAAGAAACAAAAAACTTTAATTGGTGTAGGCCAAAATGGCTCAAATCAATTAAAAACTGTGTTAGATTACTCAATAAAGACATAAGATGTTAGAAAAGTGAATAGCGATAATTTGCATAAAATTAAAAAATTTTGGAATATGAAAAAATCTTATTGGTGTTGATAAAAATTGTTTTAATCGATTCAAAACATCTTTAAGATACTTAGTGGGGATGAAAAATTAACAAAAATGATTATGACGTTTTTTGAAAGTGTTTTGAAGACGGTAGGAAATAGAAATAGTTGATTGTTGTGTGCCAAAATGGCTGAAATCGATTAAAAACACTTTTATATTACTTAATAAAGGCATAAGAGGTTAGAAAAGTTAATACAGATAATTTGCATAAAATTCAAAAAATTTTGAATATGGGAAAAGATCATTGGTGTTGATGAAAATTGTACTAATCAATTCAAAACATCCTTAGGATACTTAACTATGACGAAAATAGGAAGAACAATGATTTTGACATTTCTTGAACGTGTTTTTAAAATGATAGGAAACAGAAAACTTTAATTGGTGTGGGTCAAAATGGCTCAAATCAATTAAAAACATTTTTAAATTACTTAATAAAGGCACAAGAGATTAGAAAAGTTAATAGGGATGATTTGCATGAAATTAGAAAATTTTGAAATATAGGAAAAGGTGAAAAAGGTGTTGATGAAAATTGTTCTAATGAATTTAAAGCATCCATATAATGATTTTCACAATTTTTTAAACATCCTCACGATATTTAATGAAGTTTAGAGAACTAGAAAAATATATTTTGCTGATTTTTGTGCTTCAAAGATACAAGTAAACAGAAAATGCTGATTGGTGTGTGTCAAAATGGTTTTAATTGATTAAAAACATCCTCACGATACTTAATGAGAATAAGAGAAATAAAAAAATATATTTTAATGATTTTTGAAAGTGCTTCAAAGATTCTAGTAAACAGAAAAAGGTGATTGGTGTGTGTTAAAATAATTTTAATTGATTAGAAACATCTTCACGATACTTAATAATTATGAGAAAACTAAAAGAATTCATTTTGATGATTTTTTAAAGTGCTTCAAAGATACAGGGAAACAGAAAAAGCGGATTGGTGTGTGTCAAAATGGTTTTAATTGATTAGAAACATCCTCTCGATACTTAATGAGGATTAAAGAACTAAAAAAATATATTGTGATGATTTTTAAAAGAGCTTCAAAGATACAAATAAGCAAAAAAAGCTGGTTGTTGTGTGTCAAATGATTTTAATTGATTAGAAACATCCTTACGATGATACTTAATGAGGATGAGAGAACTAAAAAAATATATTTTGATGATTTTTTAAAGTGCTTCAAAGCTACAAGTAAACAGAAAAAGCTAATTGATTAGAAACATCCTTAGGCTATTTAATGAGAATAAGAGAAGTAAAAAATATATTAAAGCTGATTGTTGTGTGTCAAAATGCTTTTAATTGATTAGAAACATCCTCAGGATACTTAATGAAGATTAGAGAACTAAAAAAATATGTTTTGATGATTTTTTAAAGTGCTTCAAAGGTACAAGTAAATAAAAAAAGCTGATTGCTCTGTGTCAAAATGCTTTTAATTGATTAGAAACATCCTCGCGATACTTAATGAGGATTAAAGAACTACAAAAATATATGTTGATAATTTTTTAAAGTGTTTCAAAAATACAGGTAAACAGAAAGAGCTGATTGGTGTATGTCAAAATGGTTTTAATTGATTAGAAACATCCTCGCAATACTTAATGAGGATTAGAGAACTAAAAAAATATTTTTCATGATTTGTTAAAGTGCTTCAAAGATACAAGTAAAAGGAAAAAGCTGATTGTTGTGCGTCAAAATGATTTTAATTAATTAGAAACATCCTCAGTATACTTAATGAGGATTAGAGAATTAAGAAAATATATTTTGATGATTTTTTAAATTGCTTCAAAGCTACAAGTAAACAGAAAAAGCTAATTGATTAGAAACATCCTTAGGCTATTTAATGAGAATAAGAGAAGTAAAAAATATATTAAAGCTGATTGTTGTGTGTCAAAATGCTTTTAATGGATTAGAAAAATCCTCAGGATACTTAATGAGGATTAGAGAACTAAAAAAATATGTTTTGATGATTTTTGAAAGTGCTTCAAAGGCACAAGTAAATAAAAAAAGCTAATTGCTGTGTGTCAAAATGCTTTTAATTGATTAGAAACATCCTCGCGATACTTAATGAGGATTAAAGAACTACAAAAATATATGTTCATGATTTTTTAAAGTGTTTCAAAAATACAGGTAAACAGAAAGAGCTTATTGGTGTATGTCAAAATGGTTTTAATTGATTAGAAACATCCTCAGGATACTTAATGAAGATTAGAGAACTAAAAAAATATGTTTTGATGATTTTTTAAAGTGCTTCAAAGGTACAAGTAAATAAAAAAAGCTGATTGCTCTGTGTCAAAATGCTTTTAATTGATTAGAAACATCCTCGCGATACTTAACGATGATTAAAGAACTACAAAAATATATGTTGATGATTTTTTAAAGTGTTTCAAAAATACAGGTAAACAGAAAGAGCTGATTGGTGTATGTCAAAATGCTTTTAATTGATTAGAAACATCTCACGATACTTAATGAGGATTAGAGAACTAAAAAAATATTTTTCATGATTTGTTAAAGTGCTTCAAACATACAAGTAAACGGAAAAAGCTGATTGTTGTGTGTCAAAATGATTTTAATTAATTAGAAACATCCTCAGTATACTTAATGAGGATTAGAGAATTAAGAAAATATATTTTGATGATTTTTTAAAGTGGTTTAAAGGTGCAAGTAAATAGAAGAAGCTGATTGTTGTGTGTCAAAATAGTTTTAATTGATTAGAAACATCCTCACGATACTAATGAGAATAAGAGACGTAAAAAAATATATTTTCATGATTTTTTAAAATGCTTCAAAGATACAAGTACACAAAAAAAGCTGATTGGTATGTGTCAAAATGGTTTTAATTGATTAGGAACTTCCTCGCGATACTTAATGAGCATTAGAGAACTAAAAAAATATATTTTCATGATTTTTTAAAGTGCTTCAAAGATACAAGTAAACAGAAAAAGCTGATTAGTATGTGTCAAAATGGTTTTAGTTGATTAGAAACAACCTCAGGATACTTAATAATAATAATAATAAACTTTATTGCCCAACAGCGCACCATATTAAGGGCAAAATACAAAAAATATACAAATTATTACAAATTGTACATCAATATAATTACAAGTGAAATTAAAATGCATATAATACATACCTAAATAATAATACAATCAAATAAAAGAGGCAAGAAAAGAGACAGAAAATGCAATGTTTATTCTAGCCTACAACTATCGTTCATGTTCGTGATCATATGTGTTATCGGCGCCCTTTTTTTGACATTTGTTCTGCATAAAGGTGGATAAAAATACAAATGGGACCGAGAATTTATGCGCGGCACCACTATATTCACTCGCGACAACAACCACGCACAGTCGATCTCACCACACATCAACTTTTGCAAGAACGAGGCACTTTGGACCATTCTTCTATCCTGCAGAGAAGGAAGCTTGTGGCGATGCAGTAGATCTAAGTAGTTCACTCCTTTAGGCGGATATTGACCATCCATACGATATGACAAAAATTTGAGAAATCGACGCTGGACTTTCTCAACCATTAGTTGTTGTGACGTGTAAATAGGGTACCATATTACAGAGGCATACTGGAGGCGAGAGATCACCAGAGCCATAAATAGCGTTTTCAGGGTACCAAAATCAGCAAATCGACCCATGATCCTCAGTATGAAACCCAAAGTTCTCCAAGCCTGAGAGCACATCTCCTCAATATAGGGCAAGAAAGAAAGTTCTGAGTCAAACAGCACTCCCAGATCCTTCACCGTAGAGACCCTTGTTAGAGGTATGGAAGCCGCAATATAAACTGTGTCGATTTTATTTAACTTCTTTGTAAATGATATATAAGTACATTTACTGATACTTAAAGAAAGGGCATTGAAATTGCACCACTTCTGAATAATGTCCAGGTTGTTCTGCAGCATCCTAGAGTCATCCAATGATCTGACCTCCACAAAAATTTTCAAATCATCAGCATAAGCAAGCACTGGACAGGTAAGCGAGTCTAATAAATCGTTTATATATAGAACAAATAGCAGCGGTCCCAGATTGGATCCTTGAGGAACTCCAGATGTAGGCGAGTAGCCGTCGGAATAAAATCCATTGTAAAAAACACGACATACTCTATCAGCAAGGTACGATTTCATCAAATTTAATGAATTAGAAGACATACCAAAATAGCTCAATTTCTGTAGCAACATACTGTGATCAATGCGATCAAAGGCCTTCTCAAAATCGGTATAAACTACGTCGACTTGTCCACCAACATCCATTACCTCTGCGACGTACTGGGTAAGACAACATAAATTAGTTATTGTCGAGCGTTTAGGCACAAAACCATGTTGGTGAGGCGATACATATGATTGTGTGTGACGATAAATTGTATTAAAAATTATCTGCTCATATACCTTTGCAAAATTAGATAGAATAGCAATTGGTCTATAGTTGGTTACCAAGGACTTGTCACCTTTCTTAAATACGGGCGTGATTCTAGCTGACTTCCATCTCTGAGGGAAAATCGAAGCAGTTATAGAGCGATTAATAATGTACATCAACGGTTTAGCTAACGCAAATCGTACATCACGTACCAGAAAACTAGGTATTTGGTCTTCACCCGCTGTGAGTTTGGAGCTAAAACCCCTCATTACAGCAATTATCTCCTCCTCGGTTACCTGATGGATATTAAACATTGGCAACGTGGGAACTGCGTCAGTAAAATCCCTGGAATTGTCAGAATAAACAGATGAAAAATAGGAATCGAAAGCATTGACTATATCAATCGGAATAGTATATTCATCTACATCATCTCTAACGATCGACGGTATTCTGCTAGTACCTTGCTTTAGTCGAACGAAATTCCAGAAATCACTAGGATCGTGCTTTAAATTATCAGAGGCATGTTGCCAAAAGGAATTGTAAGCAGCGTCGATTTGTTCTTTTACTAGTGATCTCATTCTAATGAAGTGATCGAGATAGAACGTTTGTTTGGTAGTTCTGTACTTGTGTCTATAGTACTCTTTAGTTTTAAGGTTTTTAATTATTTCCTTAGAGAACCACTGAGGATAATTGTTTTGCTTCTGTTGAGTGCAAGGCACCGATTTCTCTATTAAATTATAAAGAGAAGTATAAAACAAATCCAACATTTCGTCCACGTCGTTTACATCTTCTAAAAATGACCAATCCATGAGAGCAATGTCATCATACAAAGTCGGAAAATTCGCTCTTCGAAAGTTAAATCGAGAGACAACAGCGTTTGGAAAAATAGTCGGAAATTTTGTAATTTCAATTGATAGAGCAGTCGACAACGCCGGATGATGCTTATCCTCAGGAACGAAAGGATAGAGCTCCTTCTCAATACAAATTTGACTATCCAAGTTAGTGAAAATTAAATCAAGAATTCTACCATAGGCATTTCGGATTGTGTTGATTTGATTCAAATTTAAAAAATCAATAAAGTTTCGCACACTCAGTGCTCTTGGGCAGTTATAATTGTCAGCATATTCAAAAACATTGAAATCCCCCATCAAAAGTATGTTATGATTAATTATCAGTGTAGTCAAAGCATCAAAATTTCAATTAATGAGGATTAGACAACTAAAAAAATATATTTTGATGATTTTTGAAAGTGTTTCAAAGGTACAAGGAAATAGAAAAAGTTGTCAAATTGATTAAAAATGTTTTCAAACTATTTAATAAAGACGAGAAAAGTTCTCTATATCTGTTTTCTGGGTCAGGCGATATAACGTGGTACTTAACCATTTGTTCAAGGATGCCCCTATCTCAGAATTCATCACGATATGTCATGTGACACGAATGAGAAAAAGCCCTTAATCAGCAGAATGTCAAACAAGAAGAGTGACAAGTGTCACGCAATTAGCTGAATTAAAGTTCATCGACGATCAAAAATATTTGACACCTTTACGACCAAAATTTATGATTGCCATGGTTACAATACCAAAACAGTTTGAGAATAAAGCTTTTCTTGGTGTAACATATCAATTTTATCAAGATCTGTCAATGTCAAAATGTCAAAACGTCAAAACATGATTAATTTATTAATTTTCGACTCACCCAATATATCATTTTTATTTAAAAACTTAATTTATTTTAAACCCTCCAATTTTTTTAGTACATCCGCTATGAGTCTCCTTTACGAATGCATAAACACCGTAATCGCCGTTTTAATAAGTATCTCGTCCGGGATGCCAAATCACGCGGCCAGCATTCAACTTTGCGTCCAAAAATTGAGGATTTTAATCGAAGACAGCGATCAAAACCGTAATAATTAATAACTAAATGATTTATTAAATTATTTATAATTAATTAATGTTTTAGTGAAATACCTCGGTTTATTGGCGATGTCGAAAATTTTAAAAACTCACCCGAAAAGCGTCCAAGCCCACAAAGACCTAATTTTACAATGTTTAGAAGATAAAGACGAATCGATTCGATTACGCGCTTTAGATTTACTTTACGGGATGGTTTCAAAAAAGAATTTGATGGAGATTGTTAAGAAATTAATGGTTCATATGGATAAAGCGGAAGGAACGATTTATCGCGATGAATTATTGAGCAAAATAATTCTAATTTGCTCGCAAAATAATTACCAATTTATCGTTAATTTCGAATGGTACGTCACCGTGTTGGTGGAGTTGGCCCAAATGGAGTTTGGATCTAAACAGGGCCACGTTATTTCATCGCAATTAATCGACGTTTGCGTCCGAGTCCCCGCAATAAGGAGATTTGCCGTTGCGGAGATGTCGCAAGTTTTGGATGTTTACGCCTCGACGAATCAATTTACGATTATGCAAGAAGTTCTTTTAGCTGCTACCTTTTTATGTGGGGAATTTGCTAGGTGGGAATAACAATGTAATCGAGTTAAATTACGATTTAATTTTTTTTAGCGAATTAAAAAATCCCGAACAAACTTTAAAAGCAATGATCAAATATAAATCGTTACCCCAACATATAGAAGCAGTTTTCATCCAAAACATCTTAAAATTATACGCTTATATAATGTTATTAATGGAGACGTCGGAGAAATATGCGGAAATAATCGATTTAACCGACGAGGTTTTAATAACTTTAGAGGAGGGAGTTAAATCGGGCGAAATTGAGGTGCAAGAACGCGCGTGTACTTCAGTTAATTTATTAAAAATAATTAAAGAAGAAATCGAAATTAGTAAGAATTAATTAATTAATAAAAAAATTTTAATTAATTTATTTTTTTTAAGAACAAAAAGATTCGAATAAATTCATTTTGGATAACACCGACTCAATAAAACCGATTATAAATAAAGACGAGACTTTAGCTTCCGAATTAATCATCTTATTTTCTGGGGAATTAAACCCAGTTGCGCCAAAAGCCCAAAAAAAAGTGTTACTTCCCGAAGGATTAAATTTAGATGAATGGATTAACGAGCCTTGCGACACAACCGACAGCGATTCCGAATCGGAAATAATCGAAAATCTTTTTATTAAAGCCGATCATCGATCAAACGTTCCCGTTAAAACTGAAAAATTTCAAGCGGAGTTAACCGAAGAAGAATTACACAAAGTCAATTTATTATTATTATTAAAAATTTGATAAAAAAACTTTTTTTTTTTGTAGATTCGCGAAGCTAGGATGTACGAACAACTCAATAATCCTCACTATTTAAAAGGAAACGTAAAGAAATCTTCAATGAACGCCGGTGGGGGGCGTTTTATTGGAGATAATGTTGAAATTGCTGAAAATATTCCAATTAAAGATATCGAGTTGAGTTTGCCTCTAAAAATTGCAGGGCAAAAACGGTCGGATAAATATTTAAGTTTAGATAAGGAAAAGAGGAAGATGAAAAATAAGAAGAAAGTTAAAAAAAATAGGAAGGAAAAGATTGAATCGTAAGTCTAAAGCTAGAATTTGGTTAAACGGTTCTAGCTAAAAATTTGCACTCATTGGGTACAAATTGTTTATGAATTATCTTTTTTGGATTTATTATGAACGATTTTTTTAATAACTTTTATCCCCATCGTTATTAGTTTTGAAGTTATAAATGATACTGATGTTGAAACGTCAAATTTAAGATTAAGACATTTCTCGGTTCGTACCTAAAAATGTGTACTTATAGGATTGAAATTGTTTATGGATTATGTTTTTTGGGTTTATTATGAATGTTTTTTCTTAATAATACTTCCCCCCATCGTTTTTAGTTTTTGAGTTATAAGTAACATGAATGTCTTGAAACGTCAAATTTGAGGGTAAGACATTTCTCGGTTTGTAGCTAAAAATTTATACCAATTGGATTCAAATTGTTTATGGATTATGTTTTTTGGGTTTATTATGATTGTTTTTTCTTAATAACATTTCCCCCCATCGTTTTTAGTTTTTGAGTTATAAATGACTTTGATGTCTTGAGAAGTCAGATTTGGGATTAAGACATTTCTCTGTTTGTACCTAAAAATTTATACTTATAGGATTGAAATTGTTTATGGATTATGTTTTTTGGGTTTATTATGAATGTTTTTTCTTAATATCACTTCCCCCCATCTTTTTTAGTTTTTGAATTATAAGTAACATTAATGTCTTGAAACGTCAAACTTGAGATTAAGACATTTCTCGGTTTGTACCTAAAAATTTATACTTATAGGATTGAAATTGTTTATGGATTATGTTTTTTGGGTTTATTATGAATGTTTTTTCTTAATAACACTTCCCCCCATCGTTTTTAGTTTTTGAGTTATAAGTAACATTAATGTCTTGAAACGTCAAATTTGAGATTAAGACATTTCTCGGTTTGTAGCTAAAAATGTACACTAATTGGATTGAAATTGTTTATGGATTATGTTTTTTGGGTTTATTATGAATGTTTTTTCTTAATAACACTTCCCCCCATCGTTTTTAGTTTTTGAGTTATAAGTAACATTAATGTCTTGAAACGTCAAACTTGAGATTAAGACATTTCTCGGTTTGTAGCTAAAAATTTATACCAATTGGATTGAAATTGTTTATGGATTATATCTTTTGGGTTTATTAGGAATAATTTTTCTTAATTATATTTCCCCCCATGGTTTTTAGTTTTTGAGTTATAAATGACATTGATGTCCTTAACCGTCAAATTTGGGATCCAGACATTTCTCGGTTTATAGGTAAAAATGTATACTAATTGGATTGAAATTGTTTATGAATTATGTTTTTTGGGTTTATTATGAATGTTTTTTCTTAATAACACTTCTCTCCATCGTTTTTAATTTTTGAGTTATAAGTAACATTAATGTCTTGAAACGTCAAACTTGAGATTAAGACATTTCTCGGTTTGTAGCTAAAAATTTATACCAATTGGATTCAAATTGTTTATGGATTATATCTTTTGGGTTTATTACGAATAATTTTTCTTAATTACATTTCCCCCCATCGTTTTTAGTTTTTGAGTTATAAATGACATTGATGTCCTTAAACGTCAAATTTGGGATCAAGACATTTCTCGGATTATAGCTAAAAATGTATACTAATTGGATTGAAATTGTTTATGAATTATGTTTTTTGGGTTTATTATCAATGATTTTTCTTAATCACACTTCCCGCCATCATTTCTAGTTTTTGAGTTACAAATGACATTGGGTACGTTCGGCCGGTGTCAACTGTTGAGTTGCTCTATTAGCAATCGCGGCTGAACGATACGCTAAGTAAGCGCTATTACGCAGCAGTTTAGTAAATATCTCAGCGTAAGTAATCTGCGCTTAGTTTGTCGGCGGTTGTGAAATTCTAGGTTAGAATTAACATTTTTTGTTTCTCCCCTTTAATTTTGAACACCGACAGAACTGTATAAAATGAAATGAGCCTTAAAATCAAGATCATCATCTACTATCTCTTGTAATAACACAAAATTTTCAAAAATATTATTGTTGGCCATAGTTTTAGGTTATGCAGAACCGCTAATTCTCAATTGCTTGTTCAGCCGATTTCGTCCCGCTGTATTAAAGCTCATACAACTAGCTGACTGATTGAATTCAACTGTTGACACCTGCTGAACGTACCCATTGGTGTCTTAAACGCCAAATTTGAGAGTAAGACATTTCTCAATTTGTAGCTAAAAATTTAAACTAATTGGTTTGAAACTGTTTATGGATTATGTTTTTTGGATTTATTATGAATGGTTTTTCAAAATAAAACTTCCCCCCATCGTTGTTAGTTTTTAAGTTATAAGTAACAATAATGTCTTGAAACGTTAAATTTGAGATTAAGACATTTCTCGGTTTGTAACTAAAAATTTTTACTAATTGGATTCACCCCATCGTTTTTAGTTTTTGAGTTATAAATGACATTGATGTCTTGAAACGTCAAATTTGAGATTAAGACATTTCTCGGTTTGTAGCTAATAATGTATACTTATAGGATTGAAATTGTTTATGGATTATGTTTTTTGGGTTTATTATAAATGTTTTTTCTTAATAACACTTCCACCCATAGTTTTCAGTTTTTGAGTTATAAATGACATTGATGTCTTGAAACGTCAAATTTGAGATTAAGACATTCCTCGGTTTGTAGCTAAATATTTGCTAATTGGATTGAAATTGTTTATGGATTATGTTTTCTGGGTTTGTTACGAATGATTTTTCTTAATAACACTTCTCCCCATCGTTTTTAGTTTTTGAGTTACAAGTAGCACTAATATCTTGAAAAGTCAAATTTAAGATTAAGACATATCTCGGCTTGTAGCTAAAAATGTATACTTATAGGATTGAAATGGTTTATGGATTATATTTTTTGGGTTTATTATGAATGATTTTTCTTAATAACACTTCCCCCCATCGTTTTTAGTTTTTAAGTTATAAGTAACATTAATGTCTTGATACGTCAAATTTGAGATTAAGACATTTCCCAGTTTGTAGCTAAGAACTTATATTCATTGGATTAAAGTTGTTTATGGATTATGTTTTTTGGGTTTATTATGAATGTTTTTTCTTAATAACACTTCCCCCCATCGTTTTTAGTTTTTGAGTTATAAATGACATTGATGTCTTGAAACGTCAAATTTGAGATTAAGACATTTCTCGGTGTGTAGCAAAAAATGTATATTTATAGGATTGAAATTGTTTATGGATTATGTTTCTTGCGTTTATTATGATTGTTTTTCTTAATGACACTTCTCCCCAGCGTTTCTAGTTTTTGAGTTGTAAATGACATTGATGTCTTGAAATGTCAAACTTGAGATTAAGACATTTCTCGGTTTGTAGCTAAAAATGTTTACCAATTGGATTCAAATTGTTTATCGATTATGTTTCTTGGGTTTATTATGATTGTTTTTTCTTAATAACACTTCCTCCCATCGTTTTTAGTTTTTGAGTTATAAGTAACATTAATGTCTTGAAACGTCAAATTTGAGATTAAGACATTTCTCGGTTTGTAGCTAAAAATGTACACTAATTGGATTGAATTTGTTTATGGATTATGTTTTTTGGGTTTATTATGAATGTTTTTTCTTAATAACACTTCCACCCAAAGATTTCAATTTTTGAGTTATAAATGATATTGATGTCTTGAAACGTCAAATTTGAGATTAAGACATTTCTCGGTTTGTAGCTAAAAAAGTATGCTAATTGGATTAAAATTGTTTATGAATAACATTATTTAGGTCTGTTAAGAATATTTTTTTTAATCATGGATCTTTCCATTGTTATTAATTTTGACGTTATAACGGATGTTGTTGTCCGAAAACGACTAATTTGAAATTAACGTCTTTATACCTTGTCATAAACTACGATCTTTTATCTTCAATTTAAGATATAAATCGTTTCTTAACTCTTAAAAATGCGGTTTTTGATAGAATGATAATTTTTGAGTTATAAATGACTTTGATGTATTGAAAAGTCAAATTTGAGATTAAGACATTTCTCGGTTTGTAGCTAAAAATGTATACCAATTGGATTCAAATTGTTTATGGATTATGTTTTTTGGGTTTATTTTGAATGTTTTTTCTTAATAACACTTCCCCCCCAGCGTTTTTAGTTTTTGAGTTATAAGTAACATTAATGTCTTGAAACGTCAAACTTGAGATTAAGACATTTCTCGTTTTGTAGCTAAAAATGTATACTAATTGGATTGAATTTGTTTATGGATTATGTTTTCTGGGTTTGTTACGAATGATTTTTCTTAATAACACTTCTCCCCATCGTTTTTAGTTTTTGAGTTACAAGTAACACTAATATCTTGAAAAGTCAAACTTGAGGTTAAGACATTTCTCGGTTTGTAGCTAAAAATTTATACCAATTGGATTGAATTTGTTTATGGATTATGTTTTCTGGGTTTGTTACGAATGATTTTTCTTAGTAACACTTCTCCCCATCGTTTTTAGTTTTTGAGTTACAAGTAACATTAATATCTTGAAACGTCAAATTTGAGATTAAAACATTTCTCGGTTTGTAGCTAAAAATATATACTAATTGAAATGAATTTGTTTATGGATTATGTTTTCTGGGTTTGTTACGAATGATTTTTCTTAGTAACACTTCTCCCCATCGTTTTTAGTTTTTGAGTTACAAGTAACATTAATATCTTGAAACGTCAAATTTGAGATTAAAACATTTCTCGGTTTGTAGCTAAAAATATATACTAATTGAAATGAATTTGTTTATGGATTATGTTTTCTGGGTTTGTTACGAATGATTTTTCTTAGTAACACTTCTCCCCATCGTTTTTAGTTTTTGAGTTACAAGTAACATTAATATCTTGAAACGTCAAATTTGAGATTAAAACATTTCTCGGTTTGTAGCTAAAAATATATACTAATTGAAATGAATTTGTTTATGGATTATGTTTTCTGGGTTTGTTACGAATGATTTTTCTTAGTAACACTTCTCCCCATCGTTTTTAGTTTTTGAGTTACAAGTAACATTAATATCTT